TTTTTTTTTACGAGTTATTTGCAAACAAATTTTTATGCAGGCTTTTAAACCTTTTGAAAAATTTCAGCAACAATTCATTCAAATCTTATGATTTTTTGACAGCAATTAGATAACTTATTGGCAACAAAATAAAGTGGTCAGTTTGTGAAATTACGATTCTTGTTTTATAAAAAACGTTATTTTTTTAATCAATTGAATTTGTTTACCAAATTCTCATATATCTAGGAAAATAATTCAAAAAGCATTATTTGCGCTAAACATTCAATTTTACTTTCGTAATAAAAATTACTGTAACTTTGATTGACTTAAAGCTTTTTACCAAAAAAAAAAAATTAACCGAGTTTAAAAAAATATAATAGAAATGAACTGAAAAGCAAAAAAAAACAATAATAATTTGATACTTCTTGATTTGATACTTAAGTTTTAAAATTTTATATTTTTGGAAATATGAAAATCAGAGAACTTATACATATCTGAATGAAAACCTATGTCGGCATTGTAGTGAAAATTATAAAATAAGGCAGAAGAAATTCTTAAAAAAATCTATTAAATTAAAGAATTTGAAAATATTTTAACCACTGGTTATTCCAAGTAGAAGGTTAAATTTCGTGGTACTATGTGTGTTTCTAGCTCCAATTAAATGCAACAATAAAATTTCTATAGCTCAAAGACGGCTTGAATACCTTTCGTTCGATAACAAAGTGGTAGTATGTATTTCATTTATTTTATCAATTTAATTGAATTAAATCTTTCAAATAGGCGGTAAACCTCTTCAAAAATATTTTCCTAGCTAAGCTTTCTTAAACTACGTTATTTTGACACCCATACTACAAAATTTCAATTCAATTTAATAGAATTCACTTTTTCAAAAAGGTGGCAACCCTCCTAAAAATATGTTGGAAATAAAGTTTTCTTAAGCCTCTTTAGTGTAATACACATATTGTAATACTTATTACGAGTATGTGGTTTATCTTTGGAATTTATTTTCATTAAACTTTTGAAACAAGTGGCAACCTTCTTCAAATAAGTTTTTTAAATTAAGCTTTCTTGTTTCTTAATTTTTATAAAAGTATACCCATTATCTACCAAAAACCATATAAATCTAAATTTCAAACTTTTTATTTAGAATTAAAAAAAAAAATTTGCGGTTTTATAGCCCATTAAATTTTAGTATAATATAGTGCACGTTTCAAGTGGCTGCCAAATACCGTTGATTTTGGGCAATTTTTTTTGTTGACGGTCTCACGCATTTTATTCCATACAAAGTATGCTCGAAATTTGTTTGTATGGAAGTAAATGCGTAGTACCTACAACAAAACGTCAACAAAAAAAAAAAATGCCAAAAAGCAACCCCTTTTTTTAGAAACTTCAAACTTTCATTCCATTATAATAAAATTTAATGGGCTATAAAACTGCATACCATTCATTTTTGCACAAAGTTTGAAATTTGGATTTATGTGGTTTTTGTTAGATAATGAGCTATACTTTTATAAAACATTAAATAAACAAAAGAAAAGCAGTCAATACTAGTTAAAATATCGACTCCTATCGTTTTGTAGGACAATAAGTAATTTTTAGCAAAAAAAAAACCGACTTCAACTCCCATATAAAAAAAATATATATGTATATATATATCTCATGATCCACTGATCGGATCTCAGCCAGATTAGTATGGGACCACCTCTGAGACACTACCTTTCCGATGCAAAATTAGAATTATCGAAATCGGTTGACGTGGTCCAAAGTTATGCCGTAACATACATAAAAAATAAAAATAAAAAAATATTCCGACGAACTGATAACCTCCTCCTTTTTTGGAAGTCGGTTAAAAAGTACATTCGTCGATAACAAAGCCGATATTTTTATTATTGAATTCATAGATATATGTACACACTTACCTATCGATAGGGCTATCTAGTATCGCGTATTTTTTGCTTTCTACTTTAATACACCCAAATATGTTTCGTTAATCCAATATTAAAACCAATTTGTCGATAAAAAATATCAATAACTTTATTTATTGACTTTTATCTTTAATTTTACCGGTGATCATTTGGTTTATAAATTTTATCAAACAATTTATTTCTCTATTTTCAGGCATTTTTCTTTGCAGTTCAGTGTCAAGTACAACGTTGTTCAAGAAAAAAAAAAAGTGTATAAAGCAAGTTAACGTGTTATTTAGCAATAAATACATTCTCCTACCCTGCGGCACTTCCGCCCACACTTTTCCAGCCTAAATAAAAGTAGAACGCGCGCGTAGCTCTTTAACGCCCAACCCCTTCGTCACCCCCACTAGCATCGCAACGGCATCCCATAATCAACAAACAACGCGTTGCAGCTCGAACAGCTGCAGCAATCATCAAAACACACACAGGCGTATAATCGCACATACGGTGCACCAACAGCAACAACAACACGCGCAACCACTAATTGGTCGCGGCGGACTTCGCCAACCCAGCTCACAAACACAAATCTGTCGCGCTGTAGTGCGTTCCACAAAAACACCGGAAAATCGTCACTCTGCACAACAGCTGCCCAAACGCGAGCGCTACTTCTATCAAGTGAATCCGCAGACGCGCTGCTACACCATTTATGAGCGTGTGCCATATTTTCGTTGGGAGCCACGCTTGAGCGGCGTCTACAACAGTCCCTATCCACACTACATACACTTGCCGCCGCAGCAGGGTGGCCAACCGGGCGAGCAGGGTAAGGAGCAACATTTATTGCCGCTGCCACCACTTAAGCCAGAACAGGCTCAGCTGTCGCATTTGACTTCGCTGCTGGAGGAGGAAAAACACCAAAAACATTTGCAACAGCAGGAAGGATATTCACAGCAGGCCTTTCAGCAGCAACAGCAATTGCAACTACAACTACGGTTGGCACATCACCAGCAGCAGCAGCATCAGCTGCAACATCAACAACTACAACACCAACAGCTGCAACAGCTACAACACCAACACTTTCAGCCACAACACCACCAGCAGCCACAATTTCAATATTCGCCAGCGCCTGTCATCAGCGCCGCTTCGCCAACTTCTTACGACGCTTACGAGTATCAACAATCGCCCGCGCAGTTGCCACATTATTCGCAGCCCGCCCAGCTGCAGCAACCGCAAATATTGTCGTCGTCGGCTTTGTCACCACATCTGCCGCCAGCGTTAACCTCATCCGTGTCGCCGTGTCCGCAAGAGTACAGTAGCGCGCCAGGTCCAGCTGGAAATATATTTTACAACTGCAAGTGCCACGAAAGCTTCTTGCCATACAAGCAGCTACCACCGAACTAAGTGAAAAAGTATAAAACGCACGCACAATAACAATCAAATAGCCGCCCGTTTCAACACACACACACACACACACGATGTTGGATGACGATAATAATGATTTGCTGGCTGCAGCCTCGGAAATACAGCGCAGTGAGTTTAAACGTAGTTTACCTGTTTAACTATTTGAAAGTTTATTGAAATTAAGTTGAATTCAATAGAAATTTTGTATGTTTTCCAATAAACTTAAGATGCCCAACACTAAGCTCTTTCCGGAAGCGTGAAATTGAAATTGAAAGAAGACCGGAATATGTGGCCAAAAGTCACTAAAATATTTCTCAAAATGTGATCATTATTATAGACAACTCAAAGAAAATGCTGTGAGAGTTGTATGGGTCCTAATGAGATTCAATTTTGGTAAAATAAGTGCAAATGAGGGTTATTGTTATTTATTGTTCTTAACTGTCACTGTTTACGGAAATTTGGTTTTTGTGATGAATTTTATTGTAAATTCTTATTAGTTTCAATCCTGCAATAAATATGTAAAAAAAAAGTAAGTGCGCCTGGGCCACACTGGAGAAGTGAAACTTACGTTGCATATCTCTTTTGTCTCATAACCTATATACATACATACATATGTACATGCATCTGCTTTTGCTTAAGGTTATATTTTTTGTCTTTTTGCTATCTAGATCCCTACCTCTACCCCTGTTCGTTCTAATAACATTTATGTTATTCTGTTTTCTTTATATTCATTTTATCTTTATGCTCTATCGATAACAAAATCGATCGTAACATCCAACAAAACATATCGATAACAAAATTGATGACAAATTCGATAGCGAAATCGATAATACTATTGGTAGCAAAATTGATTAGCAAATCGATAAAAGTCTCGATAACAAAATCGATAAATAATCGACAATAAAATCGATAACAAAACTCGATTAGAAAATCATTAAAAATGTCGAAAAAATATCGATAACAAAATTGATAAAAATATCGATAACGAAATCGATAATAAAACCAATAAATAATTGATGACAAAATCGATAAATAATCCATAACAATATCGATACTAAATTCGATAAAATATCGATAAAAAAATCTATAACAATATCGATAACAAAATCGATAAGAATATCGATAACAAAATAATTAGCTTTATTTTATTCTTTCTTCCTCTATCTTCTTCTTTACTTTTATCGATATCCTCATCCTCGTCTTTTTATCATTTGCCTTTGCCCTTATATAAGTGAAGGGAAGGTTATATAAGTGAAGGATTTTTATTTTTACCTTTGCCTTTATCCTTTTCTTTATCTATGTACGTACTCACCTTTACTTTCATTCTTGTATTGGTCTTTTTCTAAGTGTTATTCTTTAACCCTTTATTAGCAAGTTTTTGTTAAATTCATACCATGTGCATACACTCAATAAGCACTTGTTTCAGCCCCAACCATTTCCGTTGCACCATTTCCGTTGCACTATTTCCGTTGCACCATTTCCGTTAAATTTGCCAATTTACTCCCAACCAACAAACCGCCGCTAAAGAAGTTTCACTTCAAAAATAAATAAGGGGGGAAAAATTTTATATTAGAAATATTAAGAATTGGATGGTGCAGTTTTTAGTTTACTCTTACAAAGTCCTTATAAATCAGTAATTTGCCAGGTACTTACTTATTAAAAGCAAACGGATAGTAAAAATTACTACATTGAAGGAAAGGGAAGTCATTGAAATAATACTTAATAACTAGCGAATCCGAACGGCGTTAAAACGCCCAAGATCGAATATTAAAAACCTAAAAACTATACTAAGTGTTAGTCAGGGTATACGCGATTCGACATCTACAGGCCAAGGTCTTTATTTTGAACCCTCATATTTCAGAAATAAACAGGCAGGTTATACAATTTATTTCCGAGTGAACTTCTACAAAGCTCAATTTGAGTTCGAAGCGAATGTGGTTTAAATTCACTCTAAAGTGAATTGCAAAACCCACCTGAAAGCGTTTTCAAAACCATTTCGCTTTTCTTGTTCGTGCGCGCTAGGCAATGTCCGGTGATTACCCCGACTACTAAATTGAGAGAAAAGTGGTCCAATCGAGTCTTAGCCATGGACGGCTTTACATAAAGTTTTAGCCGTATTTTTAGCCGTATTGCCTGGGGTAGTATAGCAGCTTGTTTCCACAGCCCACCTGGCATTTACCTCCTCGATGAGATCAGCCTTTCATCTGTGTTTGCAGGAGGTTAACGGAAGGTCCGCATCTTTTGTGGAATAGACTTCGGATACTTCCATTCCTCTCAATGCCAGCGTATCTGCTATGCAGTTGCCAGGAATGTCACTGTGTCCGCGGACCGACAAAACACTCAAGGAGCATTTGGATGCGAACAGGTTTGGAATCTTTCTGCAGTTTATGGCTACTTTCGTCGTTGTTCCGTAAAGATTTTATAGCCGCCTGCCTGTCAGAATAAGTAGCCATGTGCCATCTTGGAGGGGCGGAGGTTATGAGCCCGCTAGCCGCCTTCATTACGGCGTTTAGTTTATGAAAACTATTTTGTTATGAAAACAAGTCGACTTTCCCTAATCACGTTCAAATCCGCTTGAAAAATCTTCAAATATTTTTAATTGTTTAGGCTACAGAAAATTTCACGTCTCTCGCCTGTCAGGTCATATCTATCGAGGTAATCATTTAATTTGTTTAACACCGTGCGGCAAAAACAAAAAAAAAACTCAGTGTGTGTAGTCCCTAGGCGCGGAAGAAGTGAAACTTAATTGAGGAAATGCCAGAAAGAAAGAATGTGCGATATACATACACATGTACATATTTTCTAATATACAAAAAACATATTTATTTAAAATTTTTTTAACGACCTTTAATTTTTTATTCTTTATAACCAACTGCAAAGTTAAGTTAATATTTGTGGCTGAAAAAACATACATATCTACAATGTTAACTGGTAGATTAAGGTAACTAATGTAAGATATGAAATATTTTATTTCTATATTATTAATATTTCTGGAAAAAATCCGCATCAATCGTAGCCGCTCCTTTGGTTGTTGGGTCATTTCCACCATTAACCATTTCCAGTGAAAATTTTTGTTTAAAAAATTTTGTCAGCTCATCAGATTCGGCCAGCAAAAAGTTGACGTTGAAATCACCTGCGAGATTTGCAGGTCGATCATAACAGTCTACTCATCTTTATCTTTATCCTCATCTTCATCTTCATCTACATCTTCATCTTCATCTTCATCTTCATCTTCATCTTCATCTTCATCTTCATCTTCATCTCCATCTTCATCTTCATCTTTATTCAAAACCATTTCTTTTGATACCCATATTGGGATACTTTATTTATTTTAATAAATAATTTGAATTTGATTTTCGTATATATGGCAACCCTTAAAAAAACTAAAATCATATTACACATCTACAAGTCGAGCCCTTTCATTTGACACCTCATCCTTTAAAATCGAACGAACGATACAGATTTTATGACTCGGTGTTGAATATTTAACGCAACCATCTCCGAACTCGTGTAAGAAGTTTCATTTCAAAAAATTTCAAACGACACGAAAGAATCGATATACTCACTAAACTATGGACAAAATATAGTAAAACTGCGTTTTTAGTTTTTCACTCTGACGTTAGGATTTTGTTTCAAAGTAGTTGCAAATTTTCAAGGCTATTTAAGGACAAAATTTGTAAAGGACATTTTCCATAACCATTAGTCCTTATGCACCAAATAATTTATTATGTTATAATTCTACAGATTTTTTTCTTTTATATGACACTCTTATTTTTATCCTACATTGCACTGAATTTTTTAAATAATTTTTTGAAATAATCATATTTTTTAAATTTCAATGTCTTTTTAAAAAAATCCTGGCGTCAGAGAGAAATACTAAATATGTACGCAGTTTTACTATAATTTACCCATAGTTTCGCAAATATATTCTTTTTTTGTGTGTGTAAAATTTACTGTCGCACGGTGTAATCGAATTTGTTTCTTTGTGTAGGAGTGCAAAACTGACAGCAGAAAAGCGTTGCTAAAAGAACAAGTCCCAAGCTTATGGTCTCCGGAGGTTTCGCAAGTGTACAGCTTTCGCCGTGGCCTTTTTAGTCATTAATATTAGTAAATCACATAGAATTATCCCTGGTGGAATTGGACCACAAAACTTTCGTTTAAAACGTACAGAGATAGTTGAAAATATTTTTCATTTGCTCACTTCTCTACTCAAAAGTATCTTTTCACATACGCATAAATACGTACGTATGCTTGACTTTATTTATAAGCGCTCATTACCCGGCTACACACCACTTCGGTCGCATGCCATTTGTCCCCTTTTTTGTTAATAGCCATGGCGCATTAACGTTTTCTGCATTGCTTCTCAACGTACAAATTCATTGCATTTTTACACTTTTTTTCTGTCGTTTTTTTTTCTAAATTTGTGTCATCATTATTATTCATTATAATGTGCACTCGCATGCAGTTGCCACTTTGTTGTATACGCAACGTGAAAATATACATATGTATGTACATACATAAGTAGTAGGTATCCAAGTAGTATGCATGCGGTATGCAAGCCCTAATTAAAAATAAATTACGTATACGCCGTGTATAACCAACATTAATAGGCTTCTTTCGTGACGACTCGAATTGAGTAGGAAGTTTTTGCTTTTACAAGTATGCAATAATTTATACAACTGCCTCTGCAAGAAGGAAATAATGCAAAATTAATGGCAACAGCAAACTTCAGGAGGTATCGTTATGTTATTATTCTGAAGAAATATTAATATTTAACTTGACCTTGGAAAAATGCGATTTATGTAAGTTATTAAAAGAACAGCATTTGTTTTATTCCACAAGCAAAGTAGCGAAGAGTGAACTCTTAACTAGCTGCACTACAAAACTTTGAAATGTTTACTTCAATAAATTTTCATGCAAGACCAGTAAGTCTTTTCGTCTGCCAAAAGGCTGCAGCGCCTTAAAGCTGAGATTTCTGCTTTAGAGAGGCCACACGTTTC